TTTCCATAGAAAAAAATTCGTTCAAGAAAGACCCCAGAAGATGTTGATCGTAAATGAGAAGATTGATTACGGAGAAAAAGGAAAATGGATTCGTATTCACATGTATGAGAATTATATAGGAACAAGAATAATCTTGGATTAAAAATCGAAATAGATTTCTTTGGAGTAATAAAACTCTTCAAATTACAATACTCGTAGAGAGAGAACCGTAATAAATGCAAAGAAGAAGCATCTTTTACCCAGTAGCGAAGGGCTTGAACTAAGATTTCTAGATGGATGGGATGAGGTATTAGTGCCTCTAACACATAATTTAAATGTGAGAATTTGTCCTCTAAAAAAGGAAATATTGAATGAATTGATTGTAAATTATGAGATTTTGCGACTTCTGCCCCTTGTGAGTAAGATATTAATCGTAAGGAAAATGGAATTTCCACAATGACTGCAAATCCTACCGCTATCATTTGAGAATACAAATTATTGTTGTGCCCAAAAACCGGATTTTGGTTGGAATCATTAGCAGAACTAATCAAACGATTCTGTTGATCCATTCGAAGAATTAAACGTTTCACAATTAGTGAACTGAATTTATTACCATAACCCTGATTTTCAAAAAAAATCATCGATTTATTTAAACCATGCTCATGAGCAAGTGCATAAATATACTCCCGAAAAATAAGTGGGTATAGGAAATCGTGTCGGCGGGATCTATTTAGTTCTAAATATACTTGAAATTCCTCCATTTCAAATTCGATTTGAACCAAAGATAGGGGATCTATTCGGTTATTAAATGATACATAGTGCGATACAGTCAAAACAAGGTATTATAGTAAGAAAAGAATAGATACCTCGGAGACAGGCGGATTCATCAACGGATTCTCTATCCTATCTTTTGCCATCTAATTGATTTATGTTCGTTATAGGATAAGAAGACGGTTCGAAATCCTTTATTTTTTCAACCCAATCGCTCTTTTGATTTTGGAAAAAAATATCTTTTCTTTATCAATATACTGCTTCTTCTACACATTCATGGCTAACCCATAAAGGGAATGCCTAATAATTAGGACTCATAAAAAAATCGATAATTTACTCATGAGAAAAACCTTTACCACATTAGGCACTAATTTATTTTTAACGTTTAATTAGATCAGGTAATCATTCAAATTGAGAACAGAAGCTCGTTCCTTTTTGTTTCCCTATAATTGGGGCCGTAGAGCTCTATCCATTTATTCACTCGACCCAACTTTGAATTCAATTCATTTTTTTTGTTCCGCACCAAAAATTCAAAAACGGTTTTTTTGGAATGATCCGGAAAAAAAGGATTCTTAGAATTCTCCATTGCTACGACATGCTCTTTTTTCCATCCCCTCCTTTCAGGATCAGTCGTGGTCTTACAAACTCTACCGATGGTCTGAACGAATCCCTTTCTTCATACAAATGTGTAAAAGATGCTAGTCGCACTTAAAAGCCGAGTACTCTACCGTTGAGTTAGCAACCCGAAAAAAATTAGAATATGTAGATACAATCGGAATAAAAAAATGGAATTGCACTAGGCAATCAAAACACGAAATTAGCAAAAATTGGAATAAAAAAAAGACACGAAATTCTCAGATAAAACCATAGAAATAGAATAAGTGAAAATTTGCGGACCGCCTCCTGTCTTATTCATTCCATTGTTATCCATTTTTTTTGTTTCAATACAATTACAATAAAAAAAACTTATTGTATCACAACAAATTCAAAGAAAGAACCCATTATTTGAATGAAGTGAAGTGCCAAACGAGGATAAATGGATCTATTTATCTATGATCGAATAAAATCCAAGAAACACCCATTACTTGATAAAGAAACAACCAATCTATGGAACGAAATCTATGGAAAGAGAAAATTTTATGGAACACGGAATAAATAGATCCACAGATAAGATCCAATTTATCTCAATCGGATTATATTTATTTTGATACACTGTTGTCAATATGAGTGTGAATATACTGAAAAAAAAATCGATTTTTTCGTTATGCTTTTAGCCCAGTCCCCCCCCCTAATAGTATGGAATAGAGTATGAATACAAAGAAGAAAAGGGGGGATAGTAGAGAAAAGGTTATAGCAAAGCTATATATGTATACGATTACCGCACCTTTATTTCAATTATTCATGTATTTATTTCATTATTCTTAAGTAAATTGTGGTTTGATTAAGGCGAAGTTCCGTAAAAACCCTGCCTCCTTAAGATAAAGAAATAAGTTTTTTTTTGAATCTTCAAGTGACTCCATAGAATGGATTCGCCTATCTCATATTCTAGAGTTCCAAGGACTCATAAAAAACCAATTTCAAATATTTGAAATTTTATATTTCATTTTGAAATTGCCTATCTCGATTATCATTATTTGAATAAGTTTTTATTTTACAGTAAGAAATCACATTTATTTTATCATTCATTAAGAGAAAAAACCCCCATATTGATTAAAACCATCAACGATTTAAAACAAATAATGGTTATTCCATTTTTTTTTTTAGTTGTAGTGGTGATAAAAAGACTTAATGTAAGGAAAATTGGAGTTATTATTCTTTCTAACTGAATGCTAAAATCAGAATGCGAAAATACTAGAAAGTTCATCTTATTTATCAGATAGACTCAAGAATTAGTCACTGAAACTATTTATGGATATTCTATGTAAATATTTAATATTAAGTAAATTAAGTAAATATTAAAAATTAAGTAATAAAATTAAGTTAATATATATAAGTAAAGAATCACCATATTTTTTTTTTACATTACAAAAAAGCGAAACAAAAGTGTTAATAAGCAAGAAACATACCATATAAGCATTTCCCTCATTTTATGAGTAGTTTATTTGACTTGACTTGAGTCTTTCTAAAATTTTCCTAAAAGTTTAAAAGTAAAGTGAATAAAATATATGAATCAACTCTGTCCCTTAATTGTTAGATAGATTTAGAATTATTCATTTTAGAATTCGAATTTTTTATAACTAACGACAAAAATCTTAACACGAGTTTAGTAAAAAAAAAAATACATTTATTATTTATATTTATTTATTATTTATATATATAGATTTTAACAGGCACAGACATTGAAATTGATATCTTCCATTAAAAATTAACTCCTATCTACTCCCCCAATTGTATGAGAAGTGATGAATGATAAATCAAATAAGGAAGAATCCTGTCCAAACATTTTGATATGAAGGACTTAGGAGAAGCAGCTCATATTCTAGGGATTAAGCTTATGCGAGATCGCAAGAATAAGATAATAGGTTTATCCCAAGCTCTTTATATTGATATGATTGTTGCTCGTTTTAACATGCAGAATTAAAATTTTTTTTTTTTTTTTTTTTTTTTTGGTTGCAAATTTTTTCATTTCAGGTGACAGATGACTTAGATATTAATGTTGTACCAATTACACGGCTTTCATTAACATAAAATACAGAAATATATCAACATACTAAAATATTCTTTAAGCTCTTAAGAAGTTTACAACAAAACTACAAATACTTATTTATACAAGAAGTGAATGGAAATGAACAAGGGAGGAGAACTATCTGCAAAAGCACTGAAGAAATACATAAAATTCAGAGTCCAAACTGTTGAACTTTCGATTTTCATCCTACGCTATGAGGAATGGCAAAACAGTTAACATGAAAGCCTCATAAGTGAAAGTTGCTGAACCAGAGTATGTAGCGTCTTTCTCCTTGAATTTCTCAGTCAGCCCCTGAAAGGAAATTGTCATGAACATTAAAATGCAGAACACCCTCCAATAAGTCTATTGAAATTGGCTCTGTGTCAATGGAATCTCATCATCCATACATAATTAATTGGTGTGGTATATTCATATCATAACATATGAACAGTAAGAACTAGCATTGATAAGATCAGATAAGTCTTAGAGTATAAACTCTTAATCTTAATTCAAACATTGAAATTGTTGTATAAACGCGACAATTCTAGATAACCCAAAATTTTTTTTCTCATTCTGTTGTTAAAATAAAGCATAGAAACAATTTTTTTATGAAAATGCAATATTACAAGCAGCCTTAATTTTAAAATACTTTCTTAAATTACAATCTACAAACACCAGTGCTCTTCCCAAGAAACCAGAATGGAAACTGGATTTGAATCTGTGGTCAAGCCAATGGCTAGAGAAGAAGACATTATATATTAAGGGATTTCTTATATATTAATACCGCACTTGCACAAAATGTCATGGAAAAAAATCAAAAATTTACAACTCCCGTTATTTTTATACCATGTAAAATTTCAGAATTGTTAATTAAATTACGGAATCTAAAAACTCATAGTTTTGTTTTTTTTTTCCACTTCTTCCCTACTGTAAACAGTATGCTGCATTTGGGTTTGAATATTTATTCAAAGGGTAATAAAAGGTGTGAAGCTTCTTCTAGTTCCATGCTGAAGGAAATGCCAGATATGGGAAAGAAACAATGTGGTTTTGTGTGAAACAAGGGGTGCAAAATGGGTTCTAATGGGCATTTTCAAATTTGCACTTTCTTGTTTGAATAATTGAATGGATAGTGTATTATATTCTTAACAGGATTATAAACCTCCCAACCTATGGTAAATGCATCATGTAATAGAATAGATTAATTATAAAATCACATGGCATTATTAATTTTTAATATTTTAATATAATTAGTTAATATAATATATTAATATAATTAGTTAATATAATATAATATTTGTTAATATAATATTTAATTAGTTAATCTAATAATAATATTTTATTGAATGTATTGAATATTAATATTTTGAAAATAGATTCTAAATCTAGATATTAAATATGTAACCTGGGCTGGGGGGGTGCCCAAGTGTTATTTTTGGTTATTTACTAAAATCTCCCTTTGGAGGAGAAGGATGGATTGTTAGTGTGGACGATTTGGAAGATATAATTGGAGGGCATGTATAGTTAGGTTCAATCAAAAGTACTATGTGAAATCTTCTTAAATAGCAAAGACTTTTCAAACAAACTCCGCGTCAAAAATAAATACGAACAAAGTGGGCCCAGAGTTAGTGACCTAACTAAAGAACTTAATGTTTAAATTATAAAAAAAAAAAAAAATCAGAGATTTATAAGGCGCTTCCACGTGTATTATGCTCGGATGAATCCAAAAGCCACATCAATTCAAGCGTAATTAAGCAACCGACGGTCCGACGCCATACTGGTTACTCTAGTCTATCCTCAACACTCGGCACAAATTAGAAACTAGTAACAATTTTATGCTAAATTGCGCGCTCCAAAATGAAATGGAAAGGGAAACTGGAAATGAAAGGGGAAAAAATTTGAAATCTTACCGATCTTTCTTGTGTTGGTGTTGGTGAAGTGGTACATGAGAAGATGAACGGTCCTCAAACTGAAGCTCTGATTATAAGTCGATAGAGCTCTCTGCAACTCCTTATCGTCGATAAATCCGCTACCGTCTTGATCGGCGAGTTGAAAGCACGCGACGACGTTGGGATCCGTGCCTGGAGGGAAAGCCGAGGGCATTAGGGAGGCGAATGGGCTACCATAAGCAGCCGACGGTGGGTAGCTGCCCGGAGCAGAGGAGTGAGGCTTGTCCTTTGGGGGCTTGTCGCCTGGAGGGTGTGCGTAGGGAGCCCCGTAAGGAGCTGATGGACCGCCGTAAGGCTGAGTTGGTGGTTGCGCACCGTAAGGTGGAGCGGCGCCGTAAGGTTGCGGTGGCGATGGAGAGGCGCCGTATGGTTGCTGTGGCGCGCCGTAGCCGTAACTGGGTGGTTGATGGGGATAGCCAGACATTATGAGGAAGAAACTGAATGAAACAACGGTAATTTTCTTATTGGTTGTGAGATATTAATTTTGCAGTGGATGGTTCCGATTTATAAGTTGTGGACAAGTACAAAATTAGTGTATTCGATGCTGAGTTTTTACGAATATATCTGGTTTCGCTTAAACGTTATTTTGAATCTTATACAACCTTTTCTATAGTTTAGTGGTAAAAGTGTGATTCGTTCTATTAATAACTGAATTTGAAATGATATACTTAAGGCGTCCTTAAGGTTTTTTATATTCCGATGAAAACTTTAGTTCTTAGAAAGGATTTACTCCTTTTTCTCTCAATAGCATATTGAGGAAGAATATGCATTTTCGCGATTTGTACCCAAAGACTAATTGAAATTGCATCCAAAAAACAAATAGGATTTGGATTATGAGTACAGAGTCGCGAAGCATAATTTTGCATTGGATTAAGGATTCCAATTTTTAAAATATGAGTAAAGGATCTATGGATGAAGATACAAAAAAATTTATTTCCAATCGTAACTAAATCTTCTTTTGTTAAAAAAGGAAATGGAAGCCAAATAGCTAAAAAACGGTAGTTTTGGTTTACTAGAACCATCAGCATATTGTTTCAGCTCGGTGGAAACCCAATTCTTTTCCTCAGGATCTCTTAAATGAAATTAGGGAACGAAGTAATTAGATTAGATAGATTTAGGCAAATTTCTATCTCCTACTCTTTAGGGATCATCTAGAAAGCAGAGAGCCTTGGTTCCATTCAGACAAAAAAGCTGACTTAGATGTTAAGTGGTGAGTGGTAAAAGTGTGATTCGTTCTATTAATCCCCCTAAGAGTTAAGGGGTCCCTCGGTTTGATTCATATTCCGAGCAAAAACTTTATTTCTTAAAAGGATTTAATCCTTTACCTCTCAACGAAAGATTTGAGGAAGAATATACATTCTCGTGATTTGGATCCAAGGGCCAATTAAATATAAATATAATTTAAAAATTATATTCTAACTAAAAATTGAAAAATTGGATTATGAAATTACGAAACATAAATTTTTTTTTTCAATTGGATCAATACTTCCAATTGAATAAGTATGAGGAAAAGATCCATGGATAAAGATATAAAAGTGTATTTCTAATCGTAACTAAATCTTCAATTTTTTTGATGGGATAGATTGAAGCAAAATAGCTATTAAACGATAACTTTGGTTTACTAGAGACATTTACATCTTGTTTTAGCTCGGCGGAAACAAAATGCTTTTCCTAAGGATTTTCTCAAATAGAAATAGAGAACGAAGTAACTAGAAAAATTGTTCTATTCTAATCCCATTCTTCTAGAAGGATCATCTAGAAAGCGAATTGTTTTGAATGCATTCAGACAGAAAAGCTAACATAGATGTTATGGGCCAAATTCTTATTTCATTTCGTTCCTGCCTTATCTTTATCTTATTTATATTTTATTTATTTCTTTTTTTTTATTTATCCATCTTCCATAAAGGAGCCGAATGAAACCAAAATTTCATGTTCGGTTTTGAATTAGAGACGCTAAGTCCACTTATAAACCCATTCTACCCCAACCGGGTTTGGTTCAGCTCGACTCAACTCGACTCTATGAAAAGACTCGACTCAGTAGGATGTCACATGTCACACACCTAACTGTGCAAGATCTTTTTCCTGTGCTTGGATCAGCTTCTCCCTCTTGAATTATTCTCCTTTCTTTTGGTCTACTAGGCTTCCTTTTAACATGTGGAGGCTTTAGGACTGGAAATTTAGTCTGTGGTGGGATGTTATAATTTGGGATTGGATGAATGACTCCTTTGTAAGCCTTCATATACTTATCTACTATGAAATACTCATCACAAAAGTCTTCAACATTGAGTCTCATATATCCAAGTGCAATGCAAGCATGTTTACATGGAAGACCTGAAATGTCCTGATAATTGCAAGTGCATGTCCTTTTCCCAATGTCAACAACAAAAGCCCACAGGCGCCTCTCTCACCTCAAACTCATTATTGTTACTTGGTAGTATCTTGCATTGTCTAGATTCTTTTATTAATCTGTTCAATGCACTCATGCATTTTAGAGTCACTCTCCCATCCCAAGTAGCAGCCATTGCAAACCTTTTATGAAGCCTAACCATACATTTCTGCCTAATAAAGTCTATTAACTCCACAATTGGTTTGTTCCTCAAGTTTCTAATCCATCCGTTGAAACTTTCTATCATGTTATTTGTCGCATCAATACTTTTAGCTGCTGGATGAAAGGCATGTCTAGTCCAATATGAAAGGGGAATATCCAGTAACCATTTTGTAGCCTTTCCCTCATTATTAGCCTCAACATTCTTCATATGCTACTTAAATGCATAACTATTGCTAGACTTAGCTGCAATCCAAAATTCCTTCCTCAACATCACCCTGGAAATTGCTTCTTGAAGATGGATAGGACAGAGGTCTTCTAAACCTTTGGTATAGGTTCAAATCCTATTGGACGCAATTTTGAATCGATTTCTCTATATTCCATTAAGTTAGAATTTTCTATTTATAATTGTTCCTGAAGTCGAAAACGTTCCATTTGGTCCTGAATAGCGTCTTTCAAAAGCGTTTCCGCTTCCTCAGTGAATGTCTTGGTAGAAGATATGATTTCTTGGAACTGAGGTTTATTCGTTTTTAAGTAAGTACGTAACTCAACGAGAAATTTCCTTACTTGTCCAATTTCTAATGAATCAAGATAACCATTCGTTCCGGTATAAATAGTACTTATCTGTTCTGCCACCGTAAGAGGAGCTGATTGGGATTGTTTAAGCAACTCACGTAATCGTTGACCTCGTGCCAATTGATTCTGAGTAGCTTTATCGAGATCAGAAGCAAATTGTGCAAAGGCTTCTAATTCGGCGAATTGGGCCAATTCCAATTTTGATTTACCAGCGACTTGTTTCATAGCTTTAATTTGAGCCGCCGATCCTACTCTGGAGACGGAAATCCCCACATTAATAGCAGGTCTGATTCCAGCATTGAATAGATCGGCGGATAAGAATATTTGTCCATCTGTAATGGAAATCACATTAGTAGGAATATACGCCGAAACGTCTCCCGACTGGGTCTCAACTATTGGTAAAGCAGTCATACTTCCTTCACCTAACTGAGAACTTGATTTAGCGGCTCTTTCTAAAAGGCGCGAATGCAAATAAAAAACATCTCCTGACATCTCCTGGATAAGCTTCACGACCCGGCGGTCTTCGTAATAGAAGAGACATTTGGCGATAAGCCTGTGCTTGCTTGGAAAGATCATCATAAATGATTAAGGTGTGTCGTTCACGATACATAAAATATTCAGCCAAAGCAGCTCCTGTATAAGGAGCGAGGTATTGTAATGTAGCTGGGGAATCCGCCGTTTCGGCTACCACAATGGTGTACTCCATCGCTCCCCTTTCTTGGAAAGTGGTCACTACCTGAGCCACAGAAGATGCTTTTTGACCAATAGCTACATAAACACATATTACATTTTGCCCTTGCTGATTGAGAATCGTATCCGTGGCTACTGCTTTCATTTGATGGTGAGAGGCGAATTGAAAGTTAAGCAGTGGTAATTCTAAAGATTCCCCGGGAGACTTCAGGTAAAGCTTAACGTAATAGATAAGAAGCGTTCTTCTTTCTTCTATAGCTTGGCAGGAGATTAATTAACCGAGATTCAGAAGCGAAAATTTCACCTCGACCGTCAATAGGTTTAGCCAAAGCATTTATAACACGACCCAAATAAGCCTTACTCACCGGTATCTGAGCAATTCTTCCTGTTGCTTTTACGGAGCATTAGCGAGCGGTATTGTATTAATAATTTTATCTTATAAAACTTATTTTTAACGTGAAATGAGCAATGCCTATGGTACCCTCTTCAAATTCTACTAATTCACCTGCCATTACTTCATCAAGACCATGAATACGAGCAATGCCGTCGCCCACTTGAAGGACGGTACCAGTATTTACAATCTTTACTTCTCTATTATATTGCTCAATACGTTCACGGATAATATTACTAATTTCGTCGGCTCTAATAGTTACCATGAGTATTTCCTAATTATTTTTTGGAAGAAAAAAAATAATGCCTACAATCTACAATAAAGTAAAAGGTAAAAAAAAGGGCTAATCAGTTATTTCTTTCATCACCCCAAACAAGCCAATATTAGCGCTAATGGTGCGTAAATGTAACTCGTTGTTTAAAGAACTATTCAGAGTTCCTAGAGCTCCTTGTAAAGCTTGTTGGAAAACCCGTTGTCGGACTTGATTAATCGCTCTTTGTTGTTCAAAATTATTACTCGCAAGAATTTATTTGCGTTAGCCTAATTTTGTTGACTTCTACAAATTAATAAGATAGGAGAATACATACCTAATAATTTATTTGTTTTAGTTAGATAATTACTAAGTTTGTTGACTTCTAACTTTCCGTAAGCGGGCCCGGGCCTTTTCCAGCCGTTCAATAGCCCCCCCGCGTAGTTCTTCTGAATTTCGAATAGTATTCAAGATCCTCTCTTTTCGATTATCTAATAAATCACTTAATGAAAGTAGATTATCTTTCCATTCATTTTTTTTTATTTCAAAAATTCCATGATCCCTTCCCGAACCAAACATGAACCTTTCGATTCATTTGGCTCTCACGCTCAATTATTTCTTATTTATTGGGAATTAATTCCCAATATCTTTTTTTTCTAATGTAATGAGCTTACCCTCTCCCTCTCGTCTCTATTCATATTCCAAAATATCGAAACTGATTACTAATCCAAGACCAGAATATTCGGAGGATTCTTCTGACCAAAATAGAAAATATATCAAAAAACTAAAAAGTATAATAAAAAAATAATAAATAAAAAAGTTACATATAATTTGGAATTTCTAATTGTACTTAGAATTGTATAATGTATAATTGTAATTTGTCAGCAAAGTTGTTTCTTTTTCCTTTTTTCGACATGAGTGTTCTATACCGAAAACTATTTCATTTATTTTGAATCCATTTCATTTTTATATTAACCATAGTAGTAGAAAGAGTACCTTGCTGTGTTTAGACTTCAAACAATTTAGCTTTAACCATGTTAATGGTCCCACGTTATTGATTGATAGTTTTGATAGTAAAATAGTTATTATTATTATTATTATTATTATTATTATTATTATTTGGAATAAAACTAATTAGTAATTAAAAGGCTATAAGTATATTTCAACATTATAGTAATTATAATAACAATATTACTAGGTAAAGTATAAAGTTTAATTATAATATCATTAAAGAATATGCATATTAGGTTATGTTATGAGATAAGTTGATGCCTATATGGATTAGAAGCTTGTATTCTTAATTACTGCAAACTCTGTCTTCCTAATTTGTGTAGGACTCTATCTCTTTCTTCTTAATTTGTGTAGGACTCTATTAGTGTTCCACTCATGTAACTATTATATGTGGTTTCTCATCAATAATATATATACTCTCATATTCTCTCATTATTCTCTCTATTCTCCCTTTATTTCTCTCTCAAATTTTATATTATTTTATAACACATTATCAGCACCATTTCGTTCTACCACTCTCATGAAAATGATAACTTATGATTTGCAACAATCAAAGTTAATATTGGTGTATTTTAATTTGTTCAAGTTTAAAGGTATGTTTATTTTGAATCATTGCAATAGCAAGATTTGTTGAGATTAAATATAATAATCTAATCTTACAATCTATTAGATAATCGACATAATTAATCAGTATACAAACATTATTAATACTTGTTTGATTATATATTTTATCCCAATTTGGGATATATATAAGAGAAATAATGGTGATGACAAAGAAGTTAAAGATTTATTGGATATTCTACTGCAAGTGTGTCAAGATAAAGATACAAAATTCAAAATAAGCAAGAACCACATTAAGGCCTTCATTATGGTATATAATACTGATCTTTTTATAATTATTGACACCCAGATAAAATCTCTTCATCAGTTATAAAATTCTCATCACTCACGATCAAGTCTTTCCGTGGGTTTTATTGTCCAATCAAATAAATAAGTAATTGAATTGTAGGAATGAAATCTTGACATATAATCGAATAAACAAGCAGCAAGTCAAGGCAAATAAAAAAAAATACGTATTTTTTTTATATTTTAATAAGGTTAAACAAAAAGATTCGCAATAAAAGTGCTAATGCACACACCAAGTCCATAAATTGTTAAAAGCTTCATAAGAAGCCAGACCTAAGCAGATAAAGTACCTCGTATTTTTTCCCTCCGCCTCGGTTGGTCTGCATACCTTCTACGCTGGCCGCGGCAGTATCCTGACCAACTCCCAGGGTCCATAGAAGCAAGCCCAACAGCCAACCCAGCAAGCAATAACGGAAGCGGCAGAATCAATGGAATTCATGATAAGTTCCTCGCACCAAAATAAAATAAGAAATGGTAAATGATACAATCGAACCAATAAATTATGATCTTAATTATTCCATTCCATCAAGTAAGATTTTCATCCAGTCCGAGTAATTAAAAATTCCGAATTGAAATTAAGAAATAATTAATATTATTGAATACATCAGAACTACTTCGATATCTATTTTTAGTTCCTATCCACAAAGTTTTTTGTGAAATTCATAACAATTTTTTTGTTTTCCATTTCTTTCTTTGTTCCGAATTATTCTTTGAATTCAAACTCTTCGTTCTTTTTCTTGATTAATCTCTTTAATTCAATATTCAATTCAAATTTACAAACGAAAAGGAAGATTTTATTGGAATCCCTTATTCTTAAATCTCCAGTAGTAGGGCGGATTAGATATATCCTTTTAACCATATCATATATAACTGGGTAATTACTTACACATTACATATACATCGTCCCTTCTTCCATAACGTAGAACCAACTATTCCATATCTTAGATTCATCGGATTCTAAAATCATTTTGATTTTGAAAAATATTCACAAAAAGAAAAGTTTGTCTTATAGCCATATATATAGTACATAACCTATTGGATTCACTTTCCTACAATCGCTTTTCTGAAATCTCATTTTTTGTAAATTCCTTCTTCTTCCTTATCATTATCCCAACATGGATAAATCAATCTAAATGGTCGAATTCACACTTAGTCTGAATCATTGCATAGAAATCGAAGTCTTTGGTTTTGGTTGATCTAAGTTTCCTGTAATTTATTATTTATTTAAAAATTTAAAAATTTGAAAAATTTTTTTTTTGATTCAATCGTTGAATTGATAAAACGACTGAAATGGAAATCGCCCTATAGAACGAACCTCTTTTTTTAATCACACGTTGTAAACAAATAAAGAATTTTTACTTCAGTATTGATACTCCTAAAGATTGGAATTGAATGAACAAAAAATCAGACAATATAAAGAAGAGAATATTCTTGAAAAGGTATAAATGATCAAAAGGAAATTCTAAGAAAAAGAATCTTTTTAGATTCTCTTTCCTTTTTTTTTTCAATTCCTAATATCGTAATCTTTTTTTTTATTATTAATTCCTTTAGATCGTATAGACCTTTTTGCTATTTGTATGTTGATCTCTTTATGTTGATGTAAGGTAATTTATGTTCATTAAGTATACAGTAAGATTATCTTGAACAAACGGCTAATTGCTTGCACTAAAGCGTATTTCGAAAAGTAGTCAATGATGCCCAACATGGGATTCGCCCTATATAAGCGCGCTAAGTTTGCAAAAATAGAGAGCTTGAATACTCGTTGTAAATAATCCAAGGAACATGACGGTATAGGAACCCAAGCTGAAGGTAACTAAAGAAACAAGAACAACAACTACTAATCCGTCGCTAAATATATTTCCGAAAAAGTCGAAAGCTAAGTGATAAAGGTTTTGTGAAAATCTCTAAAGTTAATGGTAAAAGGTTGGGAGTTGGCTGAATGTATTTCTGCTGAAACTAGACCTAACCTTTTTTTCCTAAGGCCCGCATAAAAACTATGCTATTGACGTAAGTAAAAGCAAAGCAACGGTAGTATTTATATCATTCGTAAGGTGCGGCTAACTCCCCATGAAGGTAACTCTATGATTCTCCAAGGCAAAAAGCGCCCCGCCCAATTAGATACAAAAATAAATAAAAACAATATTTCCATAAAGGGGACTCCATGAGCCATATTTCCTCTCCAATCTGAGTTTTGCTCACATTCCCGAATGAATTCAAGGACAAATTCGAAGAATTCTGCCGCCAGTCGGAAATGGTTTTTGTGATTTCCGACAGCTACAAGGCTGAACCTAATAAGAGTAGTAATTACAACCAAGACGTAATATACTTGGGCCATGGACTTGAAACCTCCTATTTCAATAGAAATGCTGGCCTACTTCCAACCGATATATTCATATAACCCTTTTTAGTGTGTTATGGAACATGATAAGAAACATTCATCATTGCCCTCTGAAAGCAAAGAATAACTTTATAAAGGAATTATTTTGATTCAATCAATCTTTTTTTTTCGACTTGCCCGCTTTAAATGTATTTTTAGATACCAATAAATCGCATAATATAACCAGGTTTATTTTTTATCTCTTTGTACGATTCCGAATGTAACGCGATTCATAAATCTATGGAGTTCACAAAATAATTTTATTTATCTTTATTATTAATGCAGGGATCGTATATAGCTAGAACGCCCTTCACAAATTTGCAAATACTAGATTTATTAAATAAATTAATCGATTGAAGCTATAGCGTCTATCAATTTGCTGGAATCGAAATATCTGCGAGATCGGGATCGCTATTTGTATCGATTAAACAAATTGTTGGAATTCCCAAAGTGATACATTCTCGCAGAGCCGTATATTCTTCTTGCTGATCAACGATGATTACAATATCAGGCAATCTCGTCATATATTTAATCCCGCCCAGATATGTTTGCAAGCGAGATAATTGTCTCTTCAACATAGCTGCATCTCTTTTCGGAAGACGGTTGAGTCCCCCCGTCTTTTGTTCTGTTCTCAAGTCCCTGAACTTATGAAGCCTCGTTTCTGTAGTGGGCCAATTTGTTAACATACCACCGAGCCATTTTTTATTAACATAATGACACCGAGCCCTTATTGCAGCCCGCGCCACCGAATCAGCGGCTTTATTTTTGGTACCAACAATTAAGAATTGTTTTCCCTTACTTGCTGCATCAAAAACTAAATCACAAGCTTCTGATAAAAAACGAGCGGTTCTAGTCAGATTTGTAATATGAATACCCTTACGTTTTGCAGAGATATATGGCGCCATTCTAGGATTCCATTTCCTAGTACC